ATTATTCATGTTAAGTACCCCACAAGTAACTAAAACGTATAGTACTTGAAGGAAAGGTGTCAAATGTTTCCATAAATACCAATATCACACACTACAACACAGACTATAACACCCCTTGTTGTTAAATACCAACCATGTGCAATATATTTTTAATTACATTTTCGTAGAGCCTTGACTTTTTCAGCTGAATAAATATTATAACTAGATGGTTTTGTTCAGCATTGCCAGCTTCACTGTTGAGCTTTATGCTGTGCCCAGCCTTCTCCTGTCCTGTGCTCTGAAATCAAAATGTGGATAAGCATAAAACAACACTAAAATAAACACTACAATACAACTTGTTATTTGTTTTTTTGACAACAAAGGTTGTTCATTTGTGTGTATAAATATACAACACAGCTATATACACAACACAGCTATATATATATATATATATATATATATATATATATATATATATATATATATATATATATATATAGCTATATATATATATATATATATATATATATATATATATATATATATATATATATATATATATATATATATATATATATATATAGATATATATATCTATATATATATATATATATATATATATATATATATAGCTCTATATATATATATAGCTATATATATATAGCTATATATATATAGTTTGCATCCCTGATTATATATATATATATATATATATATATATATATATATATATATATATATATATATAGCTATATATCAGGGATGCAAACTCATCAGGTATGAAAAAGGTGACAAGGATCCGACCCCACGGAATATCAGAGGATTTTAGCAGTCAGAACAACTAAAGCAGCAGTGTTAATAATAACAGAAACGCCACAAGAGTCACATCTAATAGAAATATATAAAAGCATTTATTTTAATTGTGTAGCAGTCAGTTTATAATTTTGGCAGGACTGTTGAGCATTTTGAAAATGTATTTTCATGCCTCTGTTCAAGGCTTAGTCTTTCTATCTGTATAGCCAGTGGTGTAAAGTAACTAAGTTCATAAACTCAACAAGTACTATACTTGGGTACAATTTTGAGATACTTGTACTTTATTTAAGTATTTCAATGTTTTGCTACTTTGTTCTTCTACTCAACTACAGTTCAGAGGTAACTGGTGTACTTTTCCTCCACTACATGTATTTAATACCTTTAGTTACTTTACAGATGTGGATGAATGATGTGAAATATAATCAAGTGTTAAATCAGACTATAGTTCCACCTGGAGTAAATTCACAAGCAGTATACAAAGTCATTCAAAACTAGCTGCACCTTTACCAGCTTTGAACAGCTCCAAGCTCTGCTCTGAACACCCGAACGGTAAGGCGATATGGGTCCGTTCTTGTGCATCCATGGGTAAAGGTAAAACGCATGTAGTACTGAACATTAGGGGTGTAACGGTTCACAAACATTTCGGTTCGGTACGTACCTCGGTTTTTAGGTCACGGTTCGGTACGTTTTCGGTACAGCAGAAAAAATGATCACAAAACATAAAATATTTTTTGGGGGTTTTTAATTATTATTAAACTGTGAATAATGTATTCACTCAAATAAATACTAAATATGATAAAATAAACATTAAGGTGCAGCATTTCGATGAACTGAAATAATCTGTATTTGAACTTTACTGTACTGGTACTCACAAAACATAAAATATTAGTTTTGGGTTTTTAATTTATTATTAAACTGTGAATATTCACTAAAATAAATACAAAATATAATAAAATAAACATTAAGGTGCAGCATTTCGATGAACTGAAATAATCTGTATTTGAACTGTACTGTACTAGTACCTAAGCAGCCAGCTTGACATTAGGACTTACTTGCTTGTCATTGTATTTTCATGTTTTTGTTAAGAAAAATGAACTTGTCCACATTGCTTGCCGAAAGGGCAGATCCGCTGGCACTAACAATAGCCGCGTTCACACCAAGTACTTTGCCGTACTCAGTGCCGGCACTCAGTGCCCCGGCACTTATTACCCCAGGGCACTTGGTACAGATCGCGTTCACACCGGAATAAATTCCCTGAGGGAAGATTACGCAAATGAGCCGCTGACGTCACTTCGTCTTCTTCGGCTTTGGGTTTACTGGCAGGCCGCAAACAACTTCACGGTGTATACTGCCACCCGGAGTCACCGGCCGGAAGTCCCCGTAGTTGGGGACTGGCTTCAGTAGAAGCTGCTGGGATTCCCAGCAGCTTCTACTGAAGCCTTCCGAGTAAATTGCCAGAACGCCGACACCTCCTCATCTCCACCGCTCCCATGTTTTATTTTGTGTTGCCAGTCTAGTCTCTCTGCGTTTGTGCGCTGGGCGAATGCTAATGCTAATGGAACGGAACTAAACACGAAAAGTACGGTGAAAAGTACTCCGGTGTGAACGCGGCTATTGTCTCCTGCTGTGGAGAACACCCTCTCGATAGGGACAGAGGTAGCAGATACAGCCAGGTAGCGCTTTGCTAACATGGCAACATAAGGATATTTGGCGTTTGTAATAGCTTTGGCTCGGTCTGAACTTTTTGCGAGTGTTGGAGGCTTAAATGCTAGTGGGAGTTGGGTTTGCACTTCAGTCATTTTTATTTTGGTACCGGTGATATTCACGTTCGGGTGATGCCTTTTCAAATGAGTGTGCAAGTTTGATGTATTGCCAGCAGCGTATCCAATTTTAGTTGAACAATGCTGACAAACAGCTTTGGTTCGGTCCACCTGTCTTTGTCCGTCATCCTTGTACGTAACTGCGAAACCAAAATGTTCCCAAACCGGAGACTTTAATGATGCTGGAGGATTTTCGAGCTCAACTTTATCTGTGTTCGCCATTTCGACAGTTCCTCAAATTACTGACTAAATTTGAACGCATCCCTGTGACCAGCTCTCATGGTATGCCTCTCGTCCAATTAAATGACTTGGTCACTCTATGACGCGTTGAACCCAATGTGAGCAAATGACACTGAACGCTGCGACACAGCACCTGAGATTACTTCCAAAAAGTTGTTCACGTTCTCGATTTTTTACGTTTAACTTTATATTCGTTCGGTACACATCGGTACACACGTGTACCGAACCGAAGGGCCCATACCGAATAATTTCGGTACGAATACGTATACCGCTACACCCCTACTGAACACGTAACATGAACGTGCCGGGCGGCGCGGTCCCGTGGGTTAGATGCGCGTTCATAATGCCGAGGGAAATAACTCTCAGAATAACGTTATTAGCACATTTTACAACTTGAGGACCGAATGTTTTTAATAAGGGCTATACAAACGTTCATACTGGGTTGTTTATTTAGTTTCAAAAAAATTATCCAACGATTTACAGACGTCTCTTTCCCAATGTAGGTCAATGGGAAAAAGTGTTTCCGAGAAGTGTAGTACCGCCGGTTGGCCACAACGAATATTTTACTCAGAGTCCGGCGCACTTCCTGGGGGCTTGATTGCAATAGAGAGGCGAAGTCCTTCCCTTTCCGGGGGACCTCCATGGGACCTTATTTCGGAAAAGGTATGTATTGAAGTCAGTGGGGAGAGAAAGATTATCTTTCGATCCCGTTTGAATTGTGCCACGAATTACACATTTGATGTTTGTCAATTTAAAAGATAACTTTGCAAGTCAAAAAAAATAAAAACCGTGTGCAACCGCCCAATGAACTACATCTCCCGTCTCGCACCACACACCAAGACGGCCGTCACGTTGGCACATTTCACTTCTTTCTTTCAGAATGAGGCGATAAGTATTAAAAGAGGTGAAAATCACTCCAAGTCTGGGCATGTTGAGAGCTGTACATATACAAAAGGGGAGTTATGCCCCTTTCACACCAACGCGGTTCCCGTTCTAGCTCCGTGCTAGAGCTTTTCTGGTTCGGAACCGGTTCTTCTTTTCAGCCCCTGTTTTGTTCACACCGCCCAGAGCCTGACTGGTGCCGCCGCAACAACTTAATTTGCTTTGCCATTTTTTGTAAACAAACACACGGTGCACCGCGCACGTGAGTAAACGTGCATCGCTTTCTGGCTCCGTAATCACACCAATGCACAAGCAACTTTAGTATCAGGTTCCGACTGGTCACAACAATAATTAAATATCACTCTTAATATAACGCATAATTAACATTTATATATTTTGGGGTGCACATTTTGCTGTTTGCTGTCCTTATTTCTTTATGTTAAAAACTGGTTGCCACTGATGGCAACCAAAGGCCAAGAAGTGGTTGACATTTGTTCTGAATGGTTGCCAATGGCAACCTGGCAACCGTTACTGTCGAGCCCTGAAGTCATAGCAGTCATGTCCTGAAGGAGCTGAACATTTTAATATTTGAATGGTTTCTGTAGCTGAAAGTATGCTGAAGGAGTTAAACGGCAAACATTGGTCGAAATAAGTTGAAGAATAAAGATTTGAAGAACAATAGTGGAATGCTGTTGCACATAATTAGTGCCACCTTAACCAGCTTGATAAACGCATCGATAATTATAATCAAAACGATTAGGAGTGTGATGTTGGCCAATCTGCATAATGAGTGTTTTTACTTTTGATACTTTAAGTATATTTAGATGCTAAAACATGTTATTCTTTTACTTGAGTAACAGTTTGCAATACAGGACTTTGACTTGTAGAAGTATTCTTACACTTTGGTATTTCTACTTTTACTTAGGAACAAGATCTGAGTACTTCTTCCACCTCTGCCTACATGCAAGATTGTTTTGTTGTTCCTTCTAACATTAGTAGACCGATCGCTGATGGATTCATGCCAAGAATCACTTATTTGTATCCAGTATTATAATGTTTTGATTTTAGTAAGTACTGTAACTTGGAGTACGTTTGAGTATATGTTGTTGCCTATACTTTAGTTCTTTACATTTTGAATTCAGGGTTCCAACTTGTAACAGAGTGTTTCTACATTGTAATTGTACAACTTTTACCAAAGGAATAATTATGAATACTTCCTTCACCACTGTTAAACTTGTTTTTAAATGTTTCTTTCATCCATGCTAGCACTGTACCAGAAGAGTCTCGTTGCTGTCTGGAGGATGACCACATAGGAAGCAGACATTCAGTGTGGGCTAGAAAACTTGGAAGAGCTTTTATTCAAGATGAATGTCTTACAAGGTATGTAGCAAGATGAAATCTATATACATTTGCTGCAAGTAGAATTGTGTTTTTTGAAAAGTTGGTATTCATTTACTGTACAAGAAAATGCCCCTCATAGTCAACAAATGTATGGTAGTAGAAGAAATTAAAGGGGACCTATCATGCAAAATGCACTTTTGTATGTCTTTTATACATGAATATGTGTCCCCGGTGTTCCAGGGAACTCACCAAGTGTCAGAAAACACAACCCTCTCTATTTTCCTCCATACCCAAATCTCTAAAAAAGGGGCTGCAACGGATCTGATACAGACTGATCCAGATTTGAACACTTCTATGACGTCACAGAAGTGGCGCTACGGCTATTGGGCCAACTCTCCACCTATCAGGGGAATGTGGGGTTGGGCCACGGCCGGCCATTGCCGCTCGAAAGCGCTGGAGACGCTGTAGTACATATGCCAGGCCTGTAAGTGGTGCTGTAGTCTGCCACAAAAGCAGCGAAGAAGACTTCCCGCCCATAGTTACCATGGTTACCCTTCTGTTTATTCTCCGCTGTGGCTTTTTTTTCTCCCTCCCCGAGGCAAGCGTTTACTCCCGCTGCTTTAATTCAATGCAATCCCTCCCCGTCGAGGCAAGCACTGTAATTCTCTCCAGTTAGTCCACCAGCAGATGACAAATACCCACCTCTCCGCCTCTTCCAAGGAACGAGGGGACCGTGCGGCAGAGTTTCAGTTACTTTCGCCGGTCAAGATGTCCGTTAAAGTTTAAATCTTCCGGACAAAATTAGAAAAGTGCCGGTCAAAGGTCTTCTTTGTTATTTATTGAGCTTTAAAACAAATGAATAACGACTCTATATAATAAAACACGGAGGGACGGAGATCTCTTTTTCTCCCCCTCTTCTGACAGCCCAGCAGCTGATCAGAGCACGGCTCACCTCTCCTGCAGGGTGGCGTGGTCAGCAGAATCAGACCCGTAGACAGCAAACAGCACATAGAGCGAAATGAGGCATGGCTAAAATGTATGATCTGTTTGGTATTTTGAAAACAGAAACGTATAAATATACCTTTATATAGGTATGGCCCTACAATATATCATTTAAATATAGCATGATAGGTCCACTTTAAATTAAAATATGACAAATACTATAAAGATATCTGCAATATGTCCAAAATATTCAAATTAAATGAGCTGCACAGTTAAAAGATGAATCAAAAATACATTAGCCACTAAACATGCTGCTTGGCAAATTACTTTTATCTAAAGAAATAAAATTAAAAGAAATGGTCATTATGTCAAAGATATTGCCTAATGGCTATCACAAGTAACCAGAGTACTTTGAGAAACTAAGGGTCTAAGTGTCAGATATCTGGTATTTTAGTCTGATAAATATTATATAATTAATACTTTGGTTAAAAAATAGTGTGATTCATTTTTATATAATTTCATTCTTTTTTCTAACCAAATACAGGAACAGAAAACATACAAGGCAAAGAAGAACAGTAGGTGAATTCACTGCAGATGGAAAACGGGGACAACTGCTGTATGAAGAACAAAGAAAAAAGATGGATGCCAACAAAGTATGGCAGTGGCGCATTATGTGTGTAGACAAATATTCAAGACATCCAGAACCTTTCCAGTGCAGCAATAGAATTGGATTGGATTTTAATGTAGCATCCAACAACCATCAAAAACTGGATATAGGTTTAGTGACAAATGGGGTCATACTTGAGGTCTGTGACTTTGCTAAAACAGTAAACAAGAGTAAAAGGCATTTTTTCACAAACATTTTAGAGAACAATTTCAATCTTGATTTGGAAAATGATCAACAGCGGATTGACTTTACATCTCGAATTATGCGCAAAGTTAAAAACTTGATTAGGAAACCTCCTAAAGATAAAAATGAAGTTTTCACTCTCTTTGACACACCATGTAATCCAGAATGCTCGAGCAGCAATGAACCGAACATGGCATCCACAAAGCATAAGACTGAAAGTATCCTGGTGGAGATGGATGACACTGATGATTGGGAACATGAAGATGAATTACAGTGTTCACAAGCAACATCCAAAGATTGCATTAAGGCAGAAAGTCTCTTGGAAGTGATGGATAGGGCACAAAGTGATGACAGTGACTATGAAGATGAATTAAAGTTTTCAGAAGCACAGTCAGCAGAGAAACAAAAAGATGATGATTTTTCCAAGTTGTTTCCCTTTTGTGAGAAAATTGGTCTGAACCTTGATTTTGGGTCAAAACAAAGTCTAGAGCCAGGTTTGCTGACAAAGGGCATAATGTTAGAGTTAATTCACTTCACCAGAATTCTCACTGCATCCTACAGCCCTATTGTTCTGGATGTTTTGGAGCACAATTTTGAACTTGATCTACAAAGTCAACAAGAAAAAAGTCGAGCTTTGTTCAAGATATCGCACTTGCTGAAGAAAAGAACGAGATTTCTCAACATTGGTACCAAAATAAGCCCAGAGTTTCAAACTGAGCCGTTTCATTCCAGACAAATCCCTTCAAAAGACACAGAGAAACAGCTCTGTCTGATATGGAAGCTCCGCAATATCAGTTTAAGGAAGTGACAAAAAGAAGGCAGTCTGATTTAAAAAGTAAACAGGCAATCAAAAGGCGCAAAAGAGACATGGAAACAAACACACTCTCTTATCACACTCATTTGTATAGCAGTAGAACAGCAGAGGGAGATCATTGTCACACTTGTCCTGTAGGAAAGTCTGATTCAGACTCAGACTCTGGCAAAAAATGTGACATGGAACAAGAAGTAATGGTAACAGAGGGAAACTGTTCTTATCTCCTGGGATCATCTCAACTAATCTTGGACAAAGCCACAGATTCAGGAAACTTTTGCAAACAGAATCAGTCACAAAACCCCAAAAGTTCTCTCGGCTACGACATTCCTAGAAAACCAGAATCAAACTGTCTTCATGTGCCTTTCCTCAACACCAATTACATTGTATCCACTTTACCAACTGATAACTTAAATGTGATTCCACCACTTGCGACATACAGTCAACATAATGAAGGAGGGCATTGTGGAGTTGAGGAGAAATCTCAGACTCCAATAAATGTTCCAAACAAGTCAGACATGGAACAAGAAGCACCTCTCCACACCACAGATGACATTTCATCCAGTTTACCAACTGTAAACTCAAATGCAAATCAAACGAATGAGGGAGGATGTTGTGAAGTTAACGCGCAAACACAAACTTCCAAAAATACACTAAACATAGGTGACTTGAAACAAGAAGAAATGGAAACGGAGAACTCAAATGCAAACCCACCATTTGCAAATCAACCAATTGAAGGATGGCATTGTGAAGTTGAAGAGCAAATACAAACGTCAAGAAATATACTAAACAATGGTGACATGAAACAAGAGGAAATGGAAACAGAGCACGACATGTGGAAGTTGCGTGCTAACCGTGCAAGAAAAATCCTCTCAACATTCGAGTTTGGTCCATTCCACAACTCAATTAAATGTGGCCTTGAATTCAATGTTGGATTTAGTGCAAAGAAGAACATCAGTGTTGACGACTTGCGTGACAATCATCTGCTCGAAGCTGCTAAATTTGCCATAGCAATGAATTATTCCAAGCAGGATTTCATCATGGAGATTCTTGAGCACAACTTTGACTTTGGCCTGCAAAGTGAATACCAGCAAAATATATTCACATTGGAAATTATGAATCGAGTGAGAGAGCTGGAAAATTGTGAAGATGCAATTAAATTCTCAAATGACGTTTTTGAACTTCCTGTTCGTCCTTGTATGGGCAATGTAAAACATCAACTCGGCAACATAATGAAAATAGAGTGCAAGTTTTCTCCACTGCTCCCACCTCATTCTCAAGCTAACACTTCAGAACATATTTCACAGAAAAGTTTGGATCTTTATCCTTTCTGCCAGGAAATAGGTCTGAAGCTAAATGTTAACAATCATCTACCAAAAAAACTGGACATCAAAAAACTCTCCAATGGATCCATTACTGAAGTGACAGACTTTGCAGAAAAGTTGTGCGGAACATTTGAGCAGACATGTCTTGACATCCTCAGACACAACTTTTCCTTTGATTTTCAAAGTGAAGATTCTGACCTTGCCAGAAATATTCTTGCACGGATTCCTTTTCTAGTGGAGAAGCAGAATCTATCAAATTGTGTAATCCAAGGAACGGGCACAAGAAAAGACTCGTCAATAATGGTCAAACTGGATTGCCAGAGTAACCAAAAGGTAGATGCATGTAAAGCTGATTCTCTTCAGACTGTGAAGATAGACCAACAGGTAGGCAGATCTACTGATTTCGGACAGCAAGATGAGCTGAATTTAAACCTGTGGAAATGTCGGTCTAATCAGATTGAGCAAGTCCTCTCAGTACCTCATGAAGAACATTGCCCACTTTATTCTTTCTCTAGATGCAAGAAGTTAGGAATTGATTTCAATGTAGGATCTGGATTCAAACAAAATCTTGATCTAGAATTGTTGACCAATGGCATCATGGTTGAATTAAACACATTTGCTGCAACACTAATATCAGCACAAAAGCACTTCATCACAGAGATACTGGAGTATAATTGTGATCTTGATTTAAGGAATGAGCTGCATCGCAGGGCCTTCACAAGTATGGAGAAAAATGAACACATTACATTTGAAGAAGACGGATAAAGATCATCGGAAAAAAAAGCTTTTTGAACTGCCTGACTTGATGTGCTTACAAAATCCTACAAAATATTGCCCCAAATGCCTCCAAGAAAGAAGTCATAAGCTTTCTCAGGATGACTCTGACCCTATTCACATGCATCATCTTCATCCACTAACAATGGCGGAAATAGTCTCTGGTGACGCAAACTGCACCGAACAAAGGACTGCAAGGGATCAGTCCTCTACCTTCTCAGGAAGAGCGGAAACGATAATGGCCAAATACCCTTCTTGCAAGGAAATTGGTTTTATCCTGTTTGTGGACAAAAACAAACCAAAAAATAAATTTGACACAAATGTATTGACAAACGAGA